CGCCGGCGAAGAGAAGGTAGTTACCGGCGGCCGTGGCGGTCGCTGGCTCTGGCTGGGCTTCGGTCGGCGGCGTAGAGTTGTGATCGGAATCGGAATCATCTTTGGTTTCAATTTGGCGCGATTTGATAAGGTGTTGGGGAATCCACGCAACAGAGTAGAACGGAACACCGTATTTCTTAAAGTTAGGAGGCTCTGGGATTTGTCTTTTCCCCATTCTCTCTCTCTCTCTCTCTCTCTCTCTCTAACACAGTTTCCTGTTTTAGTTTTTAGAGTGAATTTGATTCAGCTGCGTCCTGCGTGCGTCGCGTTACGCTGCTTGCTTTGCGAAAGCGTGTTTGGTTTGCGCACCCTACCATACTCTCAAAATAAATATAGCACAGAATAGTCTACAAAATAATTTTACTCATTCACTTACAAATGAATAATTATCTTTAAAATTATAATTTTTTTAATTCATTAATAGACTTACATGTATTTTAATTAAAATCACAGGCATCGGTCGAAGGCTCACCTTATCCTAAATTGAAATTCTTATGTCTTATTATAATTTTGATAGACAAAAATATATTTTAATTATATATAATTATGGTTCTCTCTTGTTTTATTATTCACAAAATGTTTATCATTTTTATATATTTAATATTTTCTTTTAACATTATTCTTTTAGTTGTTATATTGATTGGACTTATTCTTCAATCGATGAAATTTTGCCTTAATAATATATACTTACATTTAATAAAGATCATAAATGACTTAACTTAGTTATTGTTTCTTATATGTAATTGGGATTATTCTTCAATCATAATATTTCAATTCTGATTAAAGAACAACATCAACCACACATAAAAATCAGTAGTTAAATTTTATCCTAAATATAATTAGTATTTTTGTTTGTACAATGCATGTATATTTATTATATAAATAAAATTTATAATAAATTTATATATTATGTTTGAAAATATAAATTATATTTAAAATTAGTATCTATAAATATTTTTAAACATATAAATTATATTTTAGATTTATCATAAATAATTTGGATTGTAACAAAAAAAATATTTATTGATAATTTATTTTAGAATGTTAATATTTAATTCATAAATTGTAACATTGTAAGTATTACAGAGCAGTAATTGTTTTAATTGTATGTTGAGTGTTGTGTTGAACTATTTATCGGTGTTGAGAAACTCTAAGATCTAAGGGTTTCCTATGAGTTGTAATAGTTAGAGGGTTTTTTTTTGGGGCAAATGTCCAATTTGACCCCAAGGGGTATTTAAGGTTTTTATTTAAAATATAACATCATAAGCTCAAATTCTCAGAATTCTAGAGAGAGAAAGTTCTACAAAGAAGAACTTTGGTCCGTGAGTTTCTTTCAACTCTAAATCCTCCCCTTTTGCTTTCTTGATTCTAAGTAGAGTGTTGTTTGTTGATTTAGGTTAGTCGGAGCCTTGAATCAAGTTGTTCACCAACTCAGAGTAGTTTTCTTATTCTTCATTCTCCTCTTCTTCTCAACCTAAAGATTTATGAGGTAAGGGAAGTTGAATTCTTGTTCTTAGTGGAGTTGTTGAGTTATTGAATGATGTGTGGGTTGTATGTTGTATGAATTCTTTTGAACTTCATGGTTATGTGGATCAATTCGGAGTGGGTTGTAGTGAGAGTTGGGGTTTTGGGTTCATGAGGAAGAATGTGATGATTTGCTATGAATTATTGTTGCATGTTGGTTTTTAAGTTGGATTTGAGTTGCTTGTGTTGAGTAGAATCATTATTTTTTTTTTGATAAGCAAAAAGATTTTAATTATAAGGAGTACAAGGGGTACTCCAACCCATTACAGAAGAGTTCAAAATCTAAGCAAAATTATGAAATACACAAACGTGGGCTGAAATACCAACTAGAGTAACTAAAAGAACAACCAGGGACAGAACTTTTAATCCACTTCCATGACCGCAGTTTAATGTTGTCCAACACTTCCTTACAATCCATTACACCTTGCTGAAAGATTATACCATTCCGATGAAGCCATAGTGACCATATTACAGACACCCAAACCACTTTAAAACACTGCGTGGATTTTTTATATATACCAAGATTCGTCCAATATAGATAGAGAGAAGTTAGGGAATTTGGAAGGACCACCTCAACCTCCAACCACTTAGCTACAGATAACCAAGTATTAAAAGCCATTGGACACATTAGAAAGAGATGAAGAGGGTCTTCGATAAAAAAAGAGCAAAGAGAGCATAGATTATTTTCCAACTCCACACCACGTACTTGTAACAATGATTTGCAAGGGAATGCATTCATGAACACCTGCCAACAGAACACCAAGCACTTGATCGGAGCCTTGCATTTCCAAAGACTTTTTATGACTAGATGAAAATCTGAGGAATATGAAAGTTCTCCACCCAGCGAGCGTTGCAGCCAAGAGTACGCACTTTTCACTGAGAATACACCATCCTTATCACAAATCCATCTCCATTGATCTTGTTTAGAAGAGAAAATTTGTAGTCCCTGAAGCATTTCTAGTAAGGAATTCACACTCCCTACTTCATGGACAAAAGGTTCTCTTCTCCATTTAACCTGCCACAGCCACGTAGATCCCTCCCAATTTCCATTATGCCCCACCATTGACAACGGATCAAAGGCAAAGGAGTACAAACGAGGAAAGACATCCAACAAGCGTAAACCACCTATCCACTTATCCTCCCAAAATCGGGTCGAAGTACCATCACCAATACAACGATCAATCTTTTCATCCAACCAAAAATTTCCTTGTTGAAGCACCCAAACTATATCCTTCCACCACCAAGAATCCCTCCTATCCACATTTGAAGTCTTAGAAAAGGACTCAATGCGCCCATACCTACCTTGAAGAACCTTAGCCCACATCGTACTTGGATAGAGCATACACCTCCATACCCATTTCCCTAATAGTGCCCAATTGAACAATCTGACATCCTTGATTCCTAGTCCACCCTCATCTTTTGACTTACACACCGTTTCCCATTTTACCCAAGGAATCTTTGAGCCATCTTCGACACCTCTCCACAAGAAGCCACGTTGGATGGCCACAATTTCCTTAATCACCGAGTTCGGTGCTTTAAAAAATGACAGAAAATGGATGGGCATTGCATTCAAAACTGCATTGATTAAGGTTACCCTCCCCCCAATGGACAAATACCTATGCTTCCAAGAGGATAGTCGGTTACGTAAGCCATCCAGTATTGGTCTCCAAGTAGCCAACTTCCTAGGGTTTGCACCAAGAGGTAATCCCAAATGCTTAAACGGTAGTTGACCCACCTTACAATGCAAGAAAGAAGCCGCCAACTCAGTAAAATCTACCCCAGAGTGAATACCAACGACACTACTCTTGTGAAAGTTAATTTTCATACCTGAAATTAACTCAAAACAACGCAATATGGCCTTTAAGCACCACAAATTCTGCATAGTAGCTTCTCCAATTATCAGAGTATCATCAGCAAACTGCAAAAGAGAAATTAATGGACCTTCACCACCCAAGTGTAAACCCTTAAATAGATTCATATCTAAGGCCCTGGTCATCAACAATCTGAGACCTTCTACAGCAATTAGGAACAAAGATGGTGCTAATGGATCTCCCTGCTTTAATCCCCTACCAATAGCTACTTCCCCCGTGGGACTCCCATTTACAAGTGCTGATAGACTACCCCCACATACACAACCTTCCATCCACCGTACCCATCTCTCATCAAAACCACACCCTCTGAGCATATACAACAAGTAATCCCACTCCACAGAGTCATATGCCTTTTCATAATCAATCTTCATAACAAAAATCGGTTTCTTATATTTATGAGCATAATCAATAGCTTCATTGGCCACTAAAACACTATCCAGCATATGTCTACCAGGAATGAATGCAGACTGATTCTCTGAGATAATTGATGGAAGAATACCACGCAGTCTATTTGCCAATACCTTAGAAATAATTTTATACAGGCACCCAAGCAACGAAATAGGATGAAAATCAGTCATACCTTGAGGGCAGGGAACCTTAGGGACCAAAGCCACAAAATAAGACAAAAGAGCCTTTGGAATCTTCAAGTAAGTATGAAACTCATCAAGCAAATCCATCACATCCACCTTGATAAGAGGCCAAAATCTCTTCAAGAAAGCAAAATTAAACCCATCAGGCCCTGGGCTTTTGTCACCATCGCTCTCCCTAATCAAACAACATACTTCTTCCTCCGTAAAGTCACCAACCAACCTTGCATTTTGTGCATTGGATAGCACAGGAAAACCATCAAGTGACAATCGTGGTCTAAGCCAACTCCTTGCTTTGAAATGCTCATCAAAATATGACCTCACAACCTCTTTCATCTCATAAACCTCCTCTACCATTCGCTCACCTATCTTCAAAGCAATAATCTGGTTACGTCGCTGCCTTCCCCTGATACAAGCATGAAAGTATTTGGAATTTAAATCACCCTATTTATCCCATTGAACTCGCGCCTTTTGAGCTAACAAGCTTAGTTTCTCCGAGTACACCAAATACCATCCAATAGATCCTTTTGCCTAATCCTTTCTGAGTTTGTAAGAAAGTAATCCTCGTTCTTCGCATCCAGCTCCTTTAATTCCTTGGTCAGACTTTTTATCTTAGTATCCACATTACCAAAGACTTCGACGTTCCACTTCTTTAGAGAATTTTTAACATTCAAGAACTTTCCTCTTAATCTCTAGGCGGCCCATATACCTGAGACCTGTTTCTCCCATGCAGACCTAACCACATCCTCAATACCACTATGTGAAAGCCAACAATTATTAAAACGAAACGGTTTAGGTCCCCAGTTTAGTACCTTATGTTTCAAAATCAATGGACAATGATCAGATACATCACGTGGGATGACCTCCACATATCCAGCACCCCAGTGAGCACTCCAACTTTCTGAGACCAACACCCTATCCAACCTACTCATCATAGAACCATCACCTTTAAACCAAGTATATCGCTTCCCAACTAGTGGTATATCAATTAACTCCATATCTCTTATAAACGAGTTGAATTCCTCCATATCCCGTACACCGTATTCACCATTCACCCCTTTTCTCTCATCTTGTCTTCTCACCGTGTTAAAATCCCCAACTATACACCATAAACAACTCCCAAAACCACGTTTTGACATGATAATCGCTTCCCACAATCGCCTCTTATCCACCAACTGACAAGGAGAATAAACATTCACCACAACACACCTATTTG